AAACTACAGTATTGTACCTGTTATTCCATGTATGTAGGATCATCTCCATAACAGTGGATTTCAGAATTGTCATCTAGTGTTTTAGACAGGTGATATAGATTTTTATTCAGGATGCATAAATTAATTGCTAAGGTCAGAGCTGTACCCTGGCCCCAGATCTTCTTAGCCACTGAATTATTCTTGCTACACCACAGTAGTGTTTTTACTGAGTGACTTCCCTGTCTTAATGTATGAAGCCATTAATGTTTAATCACACTTCTTCTAAGAAAAACAGATACATTTTTGCTTTTTTAAAATAATGACTTTTTTCTTGGTTTTGTTCTGTTTTTTTGGGTGGGGGGGAGTGGAGTGGGACATTTTTATTAAAAGAACAGAAATCTAGGTAAATATTACATATTTGTTTGCAATGGGTTGTTCTTTTATTTTGCAGTAGTCTGTTCTTATTACTGGACTTTGTGCTGTAAGTGTAGAGTAGCACAAAAAAAAAAGTATTACAGTCTGTGCTAAATTTATTTATTTATTTTAGGCAAAACTGATAAATCTACAGGAGTCCCTCTGGTATGTTGCATTAACATGTTTGAAAGCTATGAAGTTTTATGTTGATGTGGAACACCCATAAGAAAATTATAAACTATAATGGCTTGAGGAATAAAAAGTCATTTATATTATATAATAGGAATGGATACACAGAGTCTATGGGGTATCACTGATAGCTCAGGGGTGGATTGGGTGGTAGTCATCAACCTCTTCTGTAGCTTAGCTTTCCTGTTGTAATGGGAAAATGTTTTGAATACCCATCTTGTCTTGTAACAAAGGAAGGAAGAGTGCCACGTAGTTTTAAGAAATTGTTTGCTGTCAACATAAAATATATGTATTTTTTCTCTGTCTGAGAAAATTCAGCCTCAGCTGGTAGAAGAGGTCTACTTCTTATAACACCTTTATTTTAACTTGTTCAGTATAAACTTAATCTACATTGTTTCCACTGACTTGCCCATCCCAGTGGTCACTCTCATTTCCAACCTGGAGTTGCTGGTGGCTCGTTGATTTCTGTTCTGTTACATTCAATGTCTTTTGGTTTTAGTAACTTTTGTATCTCATAATAGATTATTTTGGAGGTAGCATAAATATCACTTCTTGCTCTTTGTCTTACTGGATGGAATGACCCAAACTCTCTTTTACATTCACTTACAGAATATGGCTTTTCACCCAAGTCACCTTTTCTGATTTTGTTTCTGGTTTTCGTTATCTTTTACTAGAAATTAGTGGGACAAAATTGAGTCTTATTTCCACAGCCATAACTCACTGTAATACATCTACAGTGCTCTGCTGGTCAGCCAGAGGCTCTACTCCTGGAGGCCAGGGCCAAGAGCTGTGGGACCACAGCCAGGAGAAGTAGGGCAGGACAGGAAAGGCCTGGGAACATTTTGGTAATTGTTAGAGTTTGTGAAAGGGGAACTGGTATGTTGGAAGGATGAACAAGAGAACAGCAATTATGCTGAGCATTTCATGAGTTTGCTATTGTCCTCTGTGGCCTCAGTTCCCCAAATCAATTTTGACATAGCTGACTAACAGCTGGTGAGTGAATGACCAAAGGTTTATGGAGTGTCTTGAAGGGGCATCGCGGTGCCCACTAACCCTGTCAAGACATTTAAAGAGCAACAGTATTTAAAGAGACTCTTATAGCAATAATGTCCTTCTCTCTGTGTGTATTCTGCAGCTGGTAATCCCTTTAACAGCAGTTCTCTGCCCAAACGGTGTAGGTATCTCCTCAAAGCAGGGGCTCCTTCACCACTTCCTCAAAGCAGACTGATGGTGGTTCAGTTGAAAATTTGGGGACTTTTCTGATTTCCTGTAGTAAGAGAAGGTTGTAAAATGATGTCATCCTGAATGTCTAGAGACTGCAGGAGAGTCTTCGGTGGACAATATGGAAATAAACCAGATATCTAAGTGATAATCAAAAACTACTGAGCCTGAGTTGCCCTTACCTTGCCTCATTTCCCAGGGATTCCCTGGAATTAAGCTTGCAACAGCGTATCAGACACTCAGCTGTTACAACAAGAAGAGCGCCATTAAACTCCATGCGGCCTTGTGCCACTTTATGATTTGTTAATTTGTGCTTTACCTTCTCCCTGTCAAATTAATGATCTTAATTCTGTAGTTATTTCAAGGCAATATAACACTAGAAAAGGAAACTTGTCTGAATTTTTTAGCACATTCAGCTTAATTCTAATTATTGATATGAATACACCTAAACTAAAATTGTGTGAACATGAAGAATGCATGTCCCGGTTCTCACCCATAGGCTTTGAGCAGCACCCGTTGATTTTGCTGGCTATTACTCATAGTCTGCTGTGTGGAGTAAGTAATCCAGCCCTTGAATTGCTCTTCTGCTTTCAAGCAAGTCAGCTGGAGTGAATCCGTGATCATCTGCCTGAGTATTTTTGTTTGGTTTTTGCAGGCTTTTCTGTGGCATCACTAACTCTGCTAAACTAGAGAAAATAGGAAACTTGCTTGTTCCAGGGAAACACCGGCTTTGTTTAGCTCGTTTCATCAGTAAATCCACAGGAGGGCTTTCCAAGTCACCTTCCAGTATTCTTAGTTGTTTCATCTTGCTCTATTTCCCTGTTTTAAGCCTTCAAGTTGTTGGTCAATTAATGTGACAGGAACCCCGTAGGTTATGTTTGTTCATGGCAGACATGTCTTCTTTCATTAGTCCAGCCCTAACAGCTGCAGAGTTTTAATGTCTCGAGTGCTGTGTAACAGCCTGTTTGCAATGAAATGCTGAAGCAATACAAGTGTCTGTGTTGGGGTGAGGGGGGAGGCTCATGCCAGAGCTGAAAGGGAACATCTTAATGTACAGAGACTCAGGTTTTCTTCTGTTTTGCTGACTTTTATTTCAATCCCTATTCATTTCCACATCTCAGTTATTTTCCTGTCTCTTATAATTGTAGCAAGCTGAGTCCTGACCCTTTTGTTATTCATGTTGCATGTTAAGGCTAAAGGTTTTGCTGTCACTAAGAGCTTTGAAGACCACACACACATTTAAATGTTTTGGAAACAAAGCTGCTAATCTTGAATTGAAAAATATGACTCTCAGCTGTGATACTAGAAAATCATATTTCATTATCGAAATTCATCACTGTTCATCAAGATTTCCCTGTAACTTTTTTTCTTTAAATGTTTTTATTTTTTGCTATATTTACCAAGCTTTCTTTGAATCTTGTCAGACAATTTAACTTCCAGACCAATGGTTGTCTATTAAAAATGTTTACAGAAGTGCCTTGCCATTATTAAATGTTTCTGCAAGTTAATTAGTAAGAGATTGCATCTTATTCCATCTTTAGGAAGCTGCTTCAAAAAATTCTCCAACCAAGCCAATGTCTTACAGTTCTAGTCCCAAGTGCCTAATATTTTTCAGTGATAGTCAATTTTAGCAATCTGATACGGCCATTAAATATTGAAGGCCAAAATTAATGATACGTTTATATAATTGTGCATAATTGTGCTATCTGTCTTTGCAGAACTTTTTTCAGAGCTGCATAAACAGTATTATTTCAATATTATGGTGGAAATCAGAAAGTGTTTCTTAAAGTCTGCCTATATGAAATTTCAATATAGCATTGCACATCAAATTTTGATAAGCAAAATTATAGTGAACTGCCTAATACTACTTTAGATTTCCCAGTTAATTGCACAGATATGGTTCATTCATTATAAAAGTAATCATTCTTTACATTTCTTAGCAATATTATTTTTTCTTTCTGCATCAACACATTTTCAGCATAACACATGTATGCAAACCCAAGAAAATAAGTGAATTAAAATTCAGCAGGGCACTTAGTCTTTCTCCAATTGAAGTTAATAGGCATTCTGCTTTAAATTTGAACTGAAGTTGAATTTATTGTAAATAGAATTAGGCCAAAATGTATATAGTCTTGCAAATTTCTTTTAGGAAATTGAATTATAAACAGGATGCAATGATAGGAAATGATGTTTCATGACAGCGCAAGGTTTCTCTTCATGCATAAAATAATGATTATTAAAGGAGAGAACATAAGCATTACTCTGTACTTATTCTTCATGGTATATAATTGACAGCTGTCTCCAATCCATCTTTAAATCATTTAAAGAATTAAACTTCTTTCATTTTTCCTGGCCTATAGTGCACCCTCCCACAGAATGTTTCCCATGAAATGAAGCCTGGGTTTTCCTCAATTTTTTTCTAAATTAAATATTGACTATTGGATATATAGTCTAACTATTATAGTGAAGATTAGTTTTTCACAGGCACTGGAAGTCTGAGGATTTCAAATACAGTTTCTTTGAACTCATGGTGGGGATGACTTTGTGTGCCTACATCCCATCAAAATTTCACTTAAAATCCTAAGTCCACAAAACTAGTTGTATCCCACTCAATTCAGTAGATGCCTCATCCTCAGGGTTTCTACATTTTGTAGATATGGAAGGTTTAATGTTTTGATCCCCTGCATGCATGATGAACTTGTTATGTGGTCATAACTTCTGCTGAAGGAAGACTCTCCTATCTCTCCCATTTTGACTTAAAATTTCAACCCCCATGGTGGACCCACTCTGTCTGAAAAATACTCCTTAAAAAAAAGTGGGGGAGGAAGCAGTTTAATTTTAAATTTTAGTCAATTCCTCTATATTTTTTTTCCACTCAGTGTTGCACAGATGCTTGCTTGGATCTCCAGGAGAGGTTGACACCAAGCTGGAATAAGAATTTTTAGGCGAAAAAATAGAAGCATGTACCCTTTTTGGAATGCATGCCGTGTGGTAGCTCAGCAAACACTGGAGGCTAAGTGCCGTCTGTGATGCTTCTTTTGATGGTGTTCAGCACCACGGTGCTCAACTTCTTCTCTTCCTCCCCCTTCCCCACCTTTTTTTTCTCATTTTCTTTTCCCTTTTTTCCCTCCACTTTCTTATTTTCCCCCCCTTGGACAGCGCCTGACTTGACCCGTGTTGCCTTTCCTCCTTCCCAGGTGGCCTCTCTGGGAGTCACCACGTTCACTCTGTGCGCTCTGTGCATTGACCGCTTTCGTGCCGCCACCAACGTGCAGATGTACTACGAGATGATCGAGAACTGCACCTCGACGACGGCCAAGCTGGCGGTCATCTGGGTGGGCGCGCTGCTGCTGGCCCTGCCGGAGGTGGTGCTGCGCCAGCTGGCCAGGGAGGACCCCGAGTACGGCGGCAGCCCCCCAGGCGAGCGCTGCGTGGTGAAGATCTCCACGGCACTGCCCGACACCATCTACGTGCTGGCTCTCACCTACGACGGCGCACGGCTCTGGTGGTACTTTGGCTGCTATTTTTGTTTGCCAACCCTGTTCACTATTACCTGCTCCCTGGTGACAGCCAGGAAAATCAGGAGGGCAGAAAAAGCCTGCACAAGGGGGAACAAGAGACAAATTCAGCTGGAAAGTCAGATGAACTGCACAGTGGTGGCTTTGACCATTTTGTATGGATTTTGCATCATTCCTGAAAACATTTGCAACATTGTGACTGCCTACATGTCCACAGGGGTCTCTCGACAGACTATGGACCTCCTCCATCTCATTAGTCAGTTCCTTTTGTTCTTTAAGTCCTGTGTTACCCCAGTTCTCCTGTTCTGTCTCTGTAAACCTTTCAGCCGGGCCTTTATGGAATGTTGCTGTTGCTGCTGTGATGAATGCATCCAGAAGTCTTCCACAGTGACGAGTGATGACAATGACAACGAGTACACCACAGAACTGGAGCTCTCCCCGTTCAGTACCATCCGTCGTGAAATGTCGACTTTTGCTTCCGTGGGGACTCACTGTTAATTGACCTTAGGACTTTATTTCCTGTATCTTTCTCCTTTTTCTTTTTTTTGCTTCATATTTTTCTTTTTGACGCAAAATGCAAGAAAAAAAAAAAAAGTCACTGTTAAAAACTACTCTTGAAACCAATCTGTATTAACAGTCATGCTTTGGAAAATAATTTGTTTGGTTATTAAAAGGAAAGAAAGAGAGAGAGAAGGAGAGCCAGCACTCAGTTTTAAATCATGAGATTTTGTATGGTGCTAGGATTTCATTGGTTGAGGAGGAGGATCCATACCAATCCACTTTCTTTTAATTCTGTAGTATTTTTTTTGATGATCACTGTAAAATGATTATATAGACATTGTGGGCTTTGCAAGGTGTTTTCATGTAAAAGACGTGGTGGAAAGTATTTGAAGGTAGTTTTAATCCAATTACTGTACACTATTTTTAGAGGACTTGGGCTTCAGAAAATTTATAAAGTAGCATAAAAATAAATGAGGTTTTATTCTTTAACTTGATTGTCAATCTGCATTTAACAAAGAGACCTATCAGTAGTATTAAATTCCTTTAATAAGTAAAAAAAAGAAACCTTTGCATATCGTGATTTAGGTGGCCATATTTAATTAACATTTGGGTACTTACACTTGGAGGATATAATTGCAGTGTTTAAGGAAGATGGTTATAATGGTATTAGATTTATACCTGTGGGCTTTTTTAATATTCTATTATGAAGGTTCAATGTGCCTCATTGAAAATTTTCTTCTTAACATGCAGGTGTACAAAATCTTGAGTTATTTTATACTTCTTACAGAGAAACACTCACTTTATCACTGAATTTTGTCTCGTGTGGTTTCAAAATCAAGATTCTTTCCAGCACGCTATTGGTTTTACATTGAGTTTGTCCTCCATCTCTGTATATATAGCTCCTACTGGCTTCAGTGAGAGTCTCTTTGCAGAGAAAGGCATTTTTTTTTGCCAGAGGTTTGCTGACAATAAATGTGAGGGACTGAAACATGTGGAGAGTGAATTCCTTCTTTAAAAGGTATAAACACACTTGGACACCTGGGGCTTGACCCAGAGCCATGGCAGTCAATGGAGAGGTTTCCATCAATTTCAGAGAGCTTTGAATCAGACTGGCATCTCCTATTTGTTCTGGGATATGTAGCATGAATATTAATCACAGGGGCTCTGAATGCTAGTTCAGAATGATGCTGCTCTCACAGAGCCCTCTATTCACTAGCAGCTCACAGATCTGGAGCTGGTTTTGAGAGCCACTGTGTGTTTTGCTGATGGCTTCTTGCTGTCTGCAGAGCTGTTAAAATGAGGGTATGTCAACACTGCCAGCAACAGTGTGATACAGAAAAATCCAAAGTTGTTAGAAGCAAGCCAGGTTGGAGACTGGAAAGTGCCTATCCTTACCAGCAGAGCTTATTTCCCCACTCTTGGCTGAAGCAGACATTCTGTTCTTGGCAGGCAAGCCAGCTCATATTTACACTGGGCAGCAGGCTGAAGTGTAGACACATGCTGAGGAGCTGAATTTTTTATAGATAGCTTGTATTTTAATACTAATTAAATAAATAATGCAGCTTTATTGAGCAGAAGGAAAATCTCGTGCATTCATGCTTTGAAATTAACAGTGAATGTAGCTGATGTAGTCTTACCTTCCTCATGATGCCTGCCTCTGTATGTTAAAGAGATTGTTGTAACTTCTGGGAAGGACTCTACTTTTTGTTTGTAGATTGAAGACTTAATGTATCTAATCCTGGTATCTGCTTGGGAAAGCAGTACTTATTCTTTTTCTTTACCATTTTAACCTATAATAATTTCAACTGAAAAAAACAGTTGATATTAATTGATATGAGTATGAATCCAAACATATATGTACGTGAGTTCTTTTCTGACTTTTGAATCAGGTACTGAGCCCTAGCAAGGCAGTCTGCTTTAACCACAGACATTTGTTTCTGCTTAGAACTTGAGAAATTGCTCAAGTTTTTAAAATCCTGTTTAAAATGCTCAATCACTTCTGAAGGTGGGAACTGTTCCTTCCTTATAAAAACTTTCATTGGCTTGGCTTTGCTCAATTACACTCAATAAAGTATGAAAGGGATGAAAAAGAAAAGATGAAAACAAAATCTTCCTCACTTTTGGGCCTGTGTTTCCTCAAATACATGATCCCATCTCTGCATTTTGATTTTTGCTATTCTTTTTTACATGCCAATATTTATAAAGAATGGGAATAAGAGTCCCTTTTTGTTCCTTGCTGAGAGAATTGTTTCCCTTGGCTGCCTTTTCTGCCTTTTCTCTTATAATAGGGGCTCAAGGATCTTGGAAAGGAACAGCAGAATGGGAGGAACACTTTAAAAGAAACAAATGAAAAAAAAAATAGAGAACTTACTTGGAAATAGTGATCACATTTTGCTACTTTAGGTGCAACATTGCACCAGGACACAAAATGTCCCCACTGCTTTGGATATAAAGTGCTACCAGCTTTCCACTCGGCACTGGGCATGTGTCAGCTCTGCTAAGAACAGTCACTAGCTCACAGGTTACATGTTCTGTGTCCCAGAGAAATGTAGTTTGCTTCTGCATTTCCACAATATGTGTATGGTAATCCTGGAAAAATAACCAACCAACCAACCAATCAACCAACCAACCAACCCAAACAAAAAAACCAACAAACCCAAACCAAACCAACAAAAATCCCAACAGCAACAACAAACCCATACACAGCAAAAAATCTGCCTGCCACACAAAAAGGTGTTATAAGTCATTGGAGAAGATAGGATGTGAAGATCAGTAATGCTGTGTTTGTAAATACATCTTCTTACTTGTGTGGCAGAACATTCTCCAGCATTGTATTCAATGGGTCTTCTTTGTACCCTGTATAACCTTGACTTTTCTGCTGCTGAAAGAGCATTTTTCACAGCTGTTTCTCTGCCTTGCCATGGATAACTGTAGCAATTTGACGTGCAAGACACCCTTTTATTCTAATTTGTTCTCTAAATTGGTTAAACTAATACCACATTAGCAATTTGTATTGTCACAGCCATTCAAGTGTCATGATAAATGATTCCTTATGTTAAATGCAGTACTGCATTGCATTTCTTCCAACATTTGGGGTTGATGCTCTGAACTCTTGAAATTTTCTTGTGTCTGCTTTTCTAAATTTCTTTAATATTCTTCAGTATTAAATAATGATTCTTTATTATTCTAATAATAAGCTGCTTATGTCTGGTTTGAATCCAGTTCTGTCAGACATTTGCCTGTTAACAAGAGGGCATTTGATGACTAAAGATTTGCTTATTGCAAAGATTTAATTTTTTTACCTAAACTAGAGAAACTTGCAGAGCATAGTGATCAGCATAGAAGAGTGATGGAATGGAAAATCAGATTGTAAGGTAGGAAAACCTTATACCTTCCAAGTATGTTAGCCTTTAATACATTACCAATAATTGTCCCAGCCCTGGTTCCACTGAGGAATTAACACCCATGAAACTCTAGTATGTATTTCAGTACCCCCAGTGAAAACATTTCATGAATTGTATCAAAATATAATTGTGTAGGCCAAAGTAGAAATGGTAAATTATTGAGTAACATCTCTCAGAAGAGAACTCTTATTTTGCCACTTCATAAATTCCTGCATTCAACCTTAAATAAATTCTGGGTTTAAATTATGTCAGTGACTTGCTCAGCTCCTGTTCTGTCATTGAGACCATGATGTAAGCTTCCACAGCTGCTGCTCCAGCAGCTCTGGGAATGGCTCCTAAAGACACTGCGGAGCTTTCCAAGCATGTCCTGCATCTCATCGTGAGAAATTGTGTGATGTTAGGCTCCATAGTTAGATGGTTCTATTGTGCTCATGGCACTCAGAAGCAAACTTGATTATATGAAATGTGAATTGCTATTGAAATTCTGAGTAGCTTACCCAAATTCATTAAACAACAAGATTATTCAAAAGCTCTCTAGTATCTGTGAGCCATTGTCTTAGACTCAGTGTAAATACATGCAACTTGCCCTGTGGGTGCCTAACTGCTGTTGATGTGCTCAGATACATTGCTAAGCTGCTTCTGGGCTGTTTTTGCCAGGTGGCATTAACAGAACTCCAAAACCACTTAAATCATCCCCTTGTTATTGTGCTGGAACCAAGACTGCAGGCAAAACCTGCTCAAAATTAGTCTGTCTCCTTAGCTGGGCTCTGTCTTTCCTGTGCATGGAGACCACATCTAAAGTTACAGGCTGGATACAGGTGGATACAGGCTTAGCACTGTAACATCAGCATATATATCTTTGTGTATGTTCTGATGAATCAAAAATTTAAGCTCTATTATTTCTAGGATGGAAGAGCAAGATTCACAACCCTACTCTGCTTAATTTATAGGTGAGTCTTAAAATTTAGTGGTTCAACATGCCATCAGAAAGTCATAACTGCTGTAGTAGTAGACATGCTGGTGTTATTACAGAGGGCAGAATCTATAAGAAGTAAACTGCCTGCAGAGAGCTGACTCACCTTAGTTCCTTAAGAGCCTAGACCTAATGATTTGCCCAAATTGCAAAGGCAAACAGGGACCTTGAAGTGGATCTGCTATGTCACAACTTCTTATGTCTGCATGCAGAAAGGATCCTTCTTTCATCATATCACTGAGAAATGTGATTAGTAGTTATAACTTTCTTCCTTCTTTTTTTTTTTCTATGAAAAGCACAGCCAAAGTCAATGTGAGCAGATGATATGAATCATTAAAACTTAATGGTATCCTACATGTACTGCCTCAATCTTCAGGACCTGTATTTTTTCATTACTGTTCTGTATTTGATTGAGTCATTTAACACCTATCTTTTGCAGATGTCAAATTTTCAAAAGCTGTGTATGTTTTGTAATGAATAAGAAACAATGAAAAAGACACAGACTGAAATACTGCAGGGCACTCAGGCATCTCTGCTACAGAAACACTGACTCATGTTGGGAGCTTAAGGTTCACCAGTCAGGAGATCTGTGTTTAATCATGCACTGCTTTTAACCCCTAAAATCCAGGCTACTTGCTTTCCTTGTGATATAATTTGGCTGGTTCAGTTTTTGGGTTTCAGGCAGTAAAAGCTGTGACAAAGACTCCCTGGCATTTTCAAAATGACAACACAGAAAGCCAGTGCTCTGTTTCTACTGGTGGCACATTCCCCATGTAATGTTACCTGGCATGCCAGGATCCACATGCCTGGATGTCCCAGCCTCTTTCAAGGAAGAGGTCCAAGATTTCTGTCCTTGTGCACATGTTGTGTGTCACAGCTTCTTATTACTGAAAAGCAGAAGATATTATCCTGACTAACACG